ATAAAAGGTAGATGTTTGAAGAGTTTTGAAGAGTTACTCTGTAGGAAGTTGATTTATTTATTTGATTCAAGTTTAACCATGAATTGATATTAGTCAGAGAACCAAGGAATAGAGGACAGCTGTTTCGTCCTAGTTCAGTGATATGATTGGTAGTATTCATCCACTGGGGCTCGAACTCAGGACGTTCTGGTTTCCAGGCAGTCATGTGGACTATTCAGTCACTGGGAAGCGATTCACTGTCCCCCGGGATTTTAACTTCCAATAATTCTTACTGTTTGAATTCGCCTCCATACATTCTGCTTTACTTATTTCATCAAGACTTTAAAACTTAAAATGATTGCCGGAAATTTTCACGATTCATCGTAAATATATTCATAAGTATGTGCAAAAACGAGGTGAAGAACTACCTGCCAAAGACAGTATGCTTTCGTCTCTTCTATATTTTTGAAGCTGTAGTCATTCAGATAAAGAAACCGAAGTTCTGCATACAAAACAGAATAATTCAACTAATTTTACCATCATAATAATGATTTTGTTATTTCTTCCACCAACTCGATTGTATATTTAATAGAATTTTAGATTTTCCCGTTGATTGATTGGATCGAAGTGCTTGCTCTCAGGTTGACATGCCGGCTTCTTGTGCAGATGCTTTGACGATGTCTGGGCATTTAATCAGTATTTAATTGGTGGATGGTGACTAGTAGTAGAATCCAGGATAAAGCGCATTTCGTCCACCAAGAAGCCGACATGTAAACCTAAGACCGAGCACTTCGGTCCAATCAATCGATGGGAAAATTCTGAAATTCTATTAAATAAATAATATAACCCATTGCACAAGAGGTGGCTCTCGCGGCACAAGTGGTCTAGCGGATAATGCTTCGGCCTTCGAAACTATAGGCATTGGGTTCGAGTCTCGGTGGGAACATCATCACTCACTGGGGAATGCAGGTGCATCCAGATGACGAGTCCCAAATGTTTATGTGTATTGTTCAACACTTCCTAACTCAATTTTCTTCTAAACGTTTAAAAAATATCGCTTTTTCTCCCGTTTCTATGTGCATTCTGATTACAACTCATTCGTTAAATTCATTATCTCAATATGTTACTCAAACACTTATTCAAATCGTCCCATCTATTCACTAATATTCTCAACCAGGCTTATGACAATATATCACTGTTTTTACTGTCTTGTTTTCCTTCTTCTTTAATGTAACTGTACAGCCAAAAGTAAATAGCCTCTTCTTTGAAGCAGCTTTAATGCTTTCTCATGGATATCTGGATTGGCATTAGTCATAAAATATACGCATTTACTTATAGTTACTCTTACGTAAACAGGAAAAAGGAAGCCATCTACGCGTCAGTTTGTCATTTAAACCCAAACTTCCAATCTATGAGAAATTAGTATGACTTGAATTAGTTTGGAATATCACAGAATAGATAATGTGTATTTCTTGAAGTAATTTATTTTCGTAAATATCACTGACAATGTACTAATCTGCTTTTAATTATTTTATGAAGCAGGAAAAATGTAGAAACTCTATGAAATCTGCTGAGATTTCCACGTTATATGTTAAAGTGATATTTGTTCATAAATGTATATCATATCTTCAGTGAAGATGACCGGGAAACTCCTTTACTTTTGAGTATCATATTTAATACAATGAATCGCTTACAGGATTTCATCATGAGCTGACACCAGCTGAAGAACCACTGGAAAACCTGGGAGTTATGGACAGCCGTTTCATTCTAGTTTAGGACTCTTCATCAGTACGCACCCACCGGGGTTCGAAATCAGGCACTTCTGGTTACAAGGTGAGCCACTGCGACCTGATGATGGTGAAATCCTGTAAGCAATCAAACAAAATCCCCACAAGCCAATACTTGAATATCAATGAGATGCTCACTGGCGACTGGCCCTACTCAGGTAGTTAGTTACCTGGGGTTCTAGTGGGAAGTTACAACAAGTAGTGTGAAGCACGTCGGAGACATTGGCTAGCGGTCGCGCTTTGTCATGAATTCGCAGTGTGGTGAGAGCAGGCTGCTAGATAATTGGTAGACATTAATTTACGTCAATGTTTATGTCGCAAATATTGGTCGTAAGAAAATATGAACAAGACTGATTCAACAACCAATCATAACAGACTTTCAGTAGGCAGATACAGTTAACATATAGATGATCTGACATTCAACAAACAGTCACAAAGACGTGGAACGTCAACTTTCCGTGAGAAACAACCAATCAGAAGAGTATGTATGTTTGCTTGAATAAGCTATAATAATGTACATGAAAATATATAAATACGTGTTGATTTCCTTAATAAACGATCTGTTGCCTGGCCCTTGTCTTCTGTTGTTACAACAGAAGTTGGCATTCATGGGATGGCCATTGGATCGGGTCCCAGGGGCTTAATGGTAAACGAGCTCACCTCGTAGCCAAAAGGTCCTGGGTTCGGACCCCGGTGGGTGCGTACTGCTGAAGAGTCCCAAACTAGGATGAAACGGCTGTCCAGTACTCCTAGGTTTTCCAGTGGTTCTCCAACTGATGCCAGCTCAGGATGAAATCCTGTAATCAATCAATCAAAATCCCTACAAACCAATACTTTAATACAATGAAACTATTTCAATCTTGTTTGCTAAAATAACAGACAACTGACTTCAACTTCGCAGAAATCATGTGATTGACTATTAAGATAGTAGTGAATGGAATTAACCGAGTTTACTTGACACTTAGCGCTTCCTTTTGAAAACAAATTATCTGTAAATATATGAGCATGTTTTAAACATGTATACCACAAGCTCTAATTTATAGACGTCAAGAGACTGATCAAACCAGTTATTCTAATCATGCTAACCTATTCTCTAGGAGACGAAATACCTAGCTAAAATTAATACAGTATCAAATTTCCGCTATACTGTTCATTAGAGAACAGTCGCCTTATATGCATACGCGTATAGCACCACAGTTATTCCAAACCTTACCTTCATAAGAAATTTAATCAAGTTAATAAGTAAAATGAGTGTAAAAGATCACCGTTACGTCAAAATGAATCTCTCTCAGACATCCTACACGTAGTGAAAGTGTTTAAACACGCTAAAAATTATCTTTTACAGCTTCCTAAATGTTCAAGAGGATGATGTGCTCCAACACAACAAAGTTTACTTTTATTCTCGAGTGAATGATGTGTTTAGTAAACAATAAATTGATCAGCAAAGTCATAAGTGATATATATTGTGATGAGTTGCAACTACTACTTATTTCCTGCTCGCATGACTATATGTTGTGATGTCTGAATAATACTGGAAATTTTAGGCAAAGAAGGATTTATCCACAGAAAAAAGTCTAGTGTCTAACATTACAATATAAATAAATTTCCTGTTTAGTTGTGTACTGTCTAACAGTAAAACTCACTTCTTTAATGGTTTTATAAGGTGTCAATAATAAGAGAATTATGTCTATATCCTTCAAATATTTTTTTATCTATGAGGTCAGTAGGCAGAAAAATTCAGTGAACAAGTTTTATTACTACACATTTGAATACTCGAAAGAAAGAAAAAATACCCAAGTGATCTCGTCTTACACATGTAATGACTTTACAATTAAGCAAACAACTCGAGTAATCAGTGTTTATAACGATGATTATAATGATGAAAAAATATTGATAATAAGGTTTATGCAGGTGGCGATAAGAATAACAAAAGTAGTAATGTGTGTGCATGTAGACAATGCAATAAATAAATTAGGTCAAATTTTAAAAGTTACGTAATACTAAAGGTAGGTGTAGTGGACAGATAATCTGAGTTTAAACAAATATCATAAAAATACGAAGATGTCAAATAAGAAACGGTGGGAGGGTTTTGAATAGAATTCACCTAGGCCAAAGGAGAGACAAAGGTAGATCCAACTTCTTTTGTATACAAAGACTAGGATTGTTCTCTTGAATTAATTCCCATAGCTTCGGCTATGCGTAAAAGACGGATTCGAATTCCATTCGAAAGGCTTGATGTAATGCGATAGATAACTTTAAAGGCACTATTTTTGTCCATTTGGTGACCGCTATCCATCAAATGATCCAAAGTAGAACTTCTTATAGATTTTGTTTTACCTTTTCAGAACTATGAAGAAAGATGCTCATTAGTGCGTTTGTTGAGCTGTCTAGTTGTTCGGTCTATATAGTTCTTTCCACAATAGTAACTAAATTAGTAGATTCGCATAGAAGTGACGCAGCTAGGTAGCTTGTCTTTCACTTGAGGAATGATAATTGCCCCTCTGGAAAATGACAAACAAAGGGTGTAGGCAGTATAAGTCCGTTTTATCGCTCTCGATAATCTCAGATGTAAGACTTTGCTAGCCACGACCCCGTTAAATTGCAATTTCATAAACACTTGTTTCTTTTCAACTGTTGTTTAGTTTCTCTCTATTGTACATGTACTTCCATCTCCTTCGTATTTTTATGATATTTATTAAAACTCTGATTATCTGTCTACTTCACCTACCTTTTGTATTACGTAACTTTTAAGATTTGACCTAATTTATTTATACACATATTACTGTCTTTGTTATTCTTATCGCCACCTGCATAAACCTTATTATCAATATTTTTTTATCATTATAATCATCATTATTATCTACGTTCAAAACATTCACTACATTATTACTAGATCCTTAAAATCAGTGTTTACTGCATAAATGTAAATGAATGGATGGATCTCATCGAGGATATTGTATTTCAGACACTTGCTGAGGGTTCTATCTCAATGAAATGAGATCATATTTGCATGTATATTGGTTCACAAAGCAGACTGAAAGCTTTGTGGCGCCCCCCACTTTATGATGGAAATATGTGTAGCCTTAACCCCTCTTAGGGCACTGTATGCATCATCCAACATTCATGATATTTCTATTGTCTCTGACCAGGAAATCTGAAGTACACCCTTGTAAAACATTTGTATATGAGATACAGCGAAACAGATGGTTTTATTGTAAAACATTATCAACTTACCTAAAAATGTGATTTGTATGAACATTCCAATGTGTCCAATCGATAATCCTATTTGCCAATTAGTTAACATTCCAACAAAGTAGCCTAAAATAGCGCTGATAAATAAGGGGAACAGGAACAATAATTTGCTAAATTTCAATGGCAGAGGACTGTCAAGGCGATCCATATTATGTAATTCATCTGGTTAGCAAAAAAAAAACGGAATAAATTTTATTGAAATATAAATATACACAGCGTTTAAAATACTCATTGGTGAAATTTCAATAAGGTTGAGTTGATGGGTAAATGTCTAAAAATATGAATCATAGCAAACTTTACCTCACTATCGGGATGAGTGTGTCCTTGGTGGTATCTAATACTCCACTGAAGTCAGTTCTGCGGTAATATTGATTAGTCGACGATATCTTATCTTTGACTAATACAACATATGATTTTTTCGCTATACTTGAATATTTCATACAAACTGACCATCCACCGCAAAATAAATCAGTAATACAGTTTGGCAGTCTCACTGTAGTGTCCTTATTTTAAACGTATTAAATGCATGACGCTCTTACTGTGTAAATTGTATGAATCAGTTTTCTAAGTTGAATCAAGCCAGGTAAACCACTGGTGAGCTCAGCTCTGAACGAGCGAAACCGCCATCCAGAGTTTACACCACTTCGAAATAGTCGGCTAGCAAGCACTACTGGCTCCTGTGAATAGTATATAACCACTCACGACAGTCAATCAGTAGTACATAAAGCCATGCATTTTTGACTGCATTCCTGATTGACACTTAGAGTATCAAGCAGATCACATATTTTGTATCATCTTGATAATTTTGACACCCATTGGAAACTGCGTAAAGTGCAAATCGCAGATGTGAGTAAAAATATTGCTGTATGTATACTTGTTCTGCAAACATCTTTGAAGTAACAGCAGTGGTTCTTGGCATTACGAAACTTCTAATACAAGTTGACAGCAAGAAATACGTACCAAACATTGCATAATGCCACTTTCACAAACACAGTTGCTTTGTTTACCACGGTACTATCTATTTGCTGCTCAGTTAGTACTTTTTGGCAATATCTTCATGTTTGGAAGAGTATATTTATATGTACAAAAAAATAGTAGACTTCAGCCTTCGCTTACCATGGAATACCTGACCTAATTAAATACGATTGGTCATTCCTGCATACTTTTGTTTGATATAACTGAGTAATTGTCATGCATTTTATTCTATTATTGTTAACCATGTCAGTTGTAAAGGGGTTGTAAAGGAACAACGAAATGATATCATCATCTCGTGAAATTTGTCTTCTAAATGTCTGATTCAAATTTATCAGAGAAACTAATTGTTTTAATATTTGAGAAACTTTAACAACTTTTGGATATAAATATATATTTCGATGAAAAAATAAAGCAACTAGCTGTTATGATTCTTCACATAAATACCAACATAAATTCCATTGACTCTAATCAAACAGCTAGCCAGAGGCTTTTCTATTCAATGTAGATAAAAGTAAGAATTCCTAGGGTTATCAATACTTCAAGATCCTTTGTTGATTTGCAACAGTCTGCGTTGAGTCTAACGTATAAGCTTACCTTTGGGAGAAAAGTCGGCTATATTCCTTCTTCTTGTAATAGTAATTATTTTTGTGTGAAATCACTTCTAACCGTCATTAAAAATGTGGATTGTAGTTATTGTGTTGTGACAGAGAAATATTTTAATTCCTGTAATGACAATTTCACATTCCACCTAGATCCATACTACAGTTAGAAGTGAACTTAATATATATATATATATAATACGGATGGATACGTAAATTGTTATAGGACTGTTGAAACAGAACCTTCTGATTCAAACGTCAATCATTCGACTTCTTGATATCACTATCCCTTATATTTGTCTTTCCAGAAATAACTGATAAAATACTATAAAAAAACGCAGTTTTGTTACTATTTTCACGTGAATAAGATTTTAAAACGTAAAAATATGACGCTGGACTTATTCGATCGACCTTCATTTCTTTTATTAATATGAAGCTAGTTCACCTTCCTTTGCATCATTACAACCTTTCGGTAGGACGCCTAGTGTCTGTTGAGCGAGGTTTCACAAAGTTTACATATTTACACTGTTAATATTCCTAATGCTGTAACCAAAATTAAAACAATATGCTAACTTTCTATTGATATGACTATACAGATAAAAAACTCACTTGCTAATTGTGAAAGATATTCTTTATTATTCTGTTGGGTGAAGATTCCCACAGTCATAGGAAAATTTGACAATCTACATTTAAACATATCTGCCAGTGCACGGATTGTATAATCCGTATGATTCTGTACATTCGGTGTGTTATCCTCATCCATCGGCATGTTGTATGAACCTGTCAATAAAAATGTTATCATGAAATTTTATCACAGGTAATTCATGTTGACACAGTGTAATAAATTTGATAACATACATAAATACAACACTTAGTCATACTTTCACTATTAAGATATTTGTCACGAACCAGCGTCACTTACAGAGATAACTGAGAACCAAGGGCACTGAGCAGCTGTTTTCGTTTTCCACATTTACAACTCTTCAACAGTTCTTACCCCTATTCTTTCCCCCTTCCAGGGACCGATCCTGCGATCTTCGACTGAATTCTAACTTTGTCGTTTCGTGGTATAGCGCTGTCCCCCTTAATACCTTCAATGAACATCCACGTAGACATGATGGACCCCTCAGGTCACAACTTCTCATTGCAACTTTAAGAAATGCATCCAATGGCCTTTATGCCAATTGAAAGTATTCTAACATCTCTCTCCAAGAAACCTTATAATCTGAACTTAGTAATATAAATATTTTCAGGTGTTAATGTGCAGGAGTAAGTCATATTCAGTGGTGTGAGAGAAGTGTGAATATTATAAAAATATCAACTAACAAACTGTATTCAAGTGTTGGTTTGTAGGGATTTGATTGGTTACAGGATTTCATCATCAGCTGACATTAGTTAGAGAACCACTGGAAAACCTGGGAGTACTGGATAACTGTTTGGTCCTAGTTTGGAACTCTTCAACAGTACGCACCCACTGGAGTTCGAACACAAGGTTCTAGTGAGAAGTCGTGACCAGTAGAGTGCAGCAGGTCGGGTGTGAGGACAAATACTCGCCAAAGACATTGGCTAGGGGTTGCGCTATGTCGTGAATTGGCAGAATTTAGAATTCATGAACTGGCCATTGGATTATGTCCCAGTGACTCAATAGTCTACGAGCTAGCTCGTCTTGTGACCAGAAGGTCCTGGGTTCGAACCCTGGTGGTGGGTGCGTACTGCTGAAGAGTCCCAAACTAGGCTGACTAAACAGCTGTTCAGTACTCCCATGTTTTCCAGTGGTTCTCTAACTGACGTCATCTCATAATGAAATCCTGTTAACAAACTGTACAAGCTGAAAAATAAGGTGGTTAAATAGTGAACTGTAAACATACAGAGTCAGGATAAGCTCAGTGTAAATACAAAAAGTGACAGATAATAATGATATGAACTAAACTAGGAGAAAGAAGGGCATAATGAGAAATGAAAATATGAGGTGATTATGCTCTTGATGACTTTATAGTAGGCCAGGGTAAACAAACAGCATGAATTCGCTCTTATGAAAACGGTCTAGGTCTGTTCTCATTGATCCAGAAGCTTATAGGTATGGCTAACAGACATAATCATACATCCTAAGGAAAACTTTATGATACCGAGTATTATGACGGCAAATGACCCACCTATTTTGGTGCTATGGTCATCATTCACTGGATGAGATAAGATAGCACTGTTTATTGATTTGTGTGATATCATCTGCGATTTTTTTAAAGAGGAGAGACTAATAAAACAATGGGCTATTACTTTAGAGCACTCTTTAATCGACCATCACCTGCATCTTGTTCAAAAATACCCCTAACATCATGCACAGAACTACCAGTGCCTACTACTAACAATCCTCCAACAAAAACAGAACTTTTAGGTGCAATCAAGCTGCTGAAGTCCAAGAAGGCAGCAGGACCAGACAGAATTCACCCTAAGGCACTGAAAACGGCCCCAGAAGCTGTAGAGGATGTGCTGACGACACAACTGAAGAAGATTGGGAAGAAAGGAAAGATTCCTACCAATTAGAAAAAAGCCTACCTTATGAGACTACCGAAGAATTGCGATCGAGGATTCTGTAAGAACTAACGTGGAATCATGCTCTGGTCCACGCCAAGTAAAACACTCAGCTGCGTCATCCTGGAAAGAATAATGAATCCAATGGATGCAGAGCTCCATTGCCCCATCCAGGACAGGCTGGACTCAGGAAAAGCGAATAATGTGCTCAACAAATTGCAACTCCATGCTTTGTCGTCACATATGAAAGCTTAAAATCACAGTTAAATCTCCACCTCAACTTCATCGACTTCAAAAAGGCTTTCGACCGACAGCATTGACCGAGAGGTAATTTGGAAACTGCTTCAACGCCAAGGCGTGCGATGTCTAAGTATTGATCGACCTCATTCAACAGCTGGTTATATGACAATGCCGCATGCCAAGTGATCCACAACGGAAAACCCAGCGAGTCATTCGAAGTGAATACAGGATTAAGACAACACTGCCTATTATCACCGATGACATTCGTAATTGTGGTGGACTGGATCATGCGTCTGACTGTGCGCTGACCGATAAGAAGACTCTGGAAGATCAGAATTTCGCGCTGGGTGGTTTATGTTTAATGTAACAAAACCTCGAAGGCTTGCAGGCGAATACCAGCAAACTGTTAGAAGAAACTGGCTGGCAATGAAGACAGGACCCCAAATGAACATAGAGAAGACGGAAGTGAGGAAGACTACCGACGAACCGCAACAACAACCAGCATCATTCACCGTAAAAGTGAGAGAAATGACAGAGGTTACTTCCTCCACTTGTCTAGGAAGCACAATTTCAACCACAGGCTGTCGGAACGGATGTCGAAGCCAGACAGCCAGAATCGGAAAGTCAAGATACGCCTTTATCAACTTGAAACCAGTGTGAAAAATTTTTATACTTAACATAAAGAACAAGATCCGCATTTTCAACATCAGTGTGTGGAAACCAACCAGTTAGCAAAAGAGACAGACAGGGAAGACAGGACTAAGGTGAACATGGAAAAGACAGACGTGATGAAGGTAATCAATTAACACAAACTGGCATCAATAACTTCAAACGGAATGAATCAGAAGAAAGTCCCTTCATTCACGTATTCGGATAGGGTCTAATCAACCAGAGCCTGTAGAGATGAGTGTACCAAAGCCGATCAGGGTAGGGAAAGCAAGACAAACCTTCATTAACGTGAAATCAGTTTGGAAATCTGTTGCAACAAGCATGAAGAATAAGATTTAAATTTTCAACACTAACAGCAAGTGATTTCTTCAATATGGTTCGAAGACATGCACTGTGCATCATGGTAACGCTTTTCGACAGGTTACTGCAGGCTTTTGTTGACACCTGCTTTCCGTTCGAACTGAGGATTAAATGGCAGTGAAACAACCAATAAACTATCGCCAAAGGATTTTAATATGGATCCATCATAGTCAAAGCAGACTACTGAGTGACATCATGTCTCTGGCAACCGCTCGACTTGAATCCGAATAGGAAACAACGAATTCGATGTAGGTCCATTGATAATGTTGTGGTAGTGGAGTGACAGGGAGATGAGAGCTCATCGGTAATCATGAAGTCAGATGAAGAAGAATGTAAAGGACAATATGGAATGGAGACGCGCTCTTCAAACCCTGTTTTGTACACCTAAGACCGAAAGGATTATTAATATAACAGTAATCTGTGGAGGAATTTCCTAATAATTTGTAAACCATGTTCCCCTTCAATCTTTTTCCAACCTTGCGTCCAGTATTTCGATATGCGCTTATGTTTAAAATAGTTCTGAGCTTGCTGTATACGTACTTCTTTGAGTGACCTAAAAAAAGCTTGATGTGCAGATGTGCATGAGATGCTACACAATTGTCTTGAGTGAGATTTTATGCAGAAAATAATTCCTCCGAGAAGAAATTGATTCATGATGAAATTCTCTCAAGTCAAATAAAACTTTACATGTCTTCACTGGTAATATAAAAATAGCCATTAACCTTTATTTAATTAAAAATTTAAAACTTCACGCTGCATTTATATGAACTGTGATCAAGATTTGATCGAATAGGTCAAAAATAATTAGGCGCCGAGTGGGAAGTAGACATTTGTAAAAATTACATTTTTAACATCTCAGCGAAATTGAAATGAATAGTTCCAACGTTGCGTTCGGCAGATTGGGCCCGATTTCATGAAGGAAATTAATCGAAATTAAACTAAGGTATATATATGCAGTATGCAATGGTATATGTGTAACGGGCAACAACTGTATATCATTTATTAGCCTCCGATAAGTAGACATGAAGAATCGGGAATTTAGATTAAGTATGACTGCTTAGTGATACACATTCATTTCTATTTATTGATCAGAAATTTCCACTCATCGGCAAACACTACACCTTCACATTTTTTGTTCAAAATATTGTTATTTACCTATACATGTTGGGCTTCTGCAGTCAGTCCTTCTTTATACGAGCCAAAACTTTTCTGTAGAACCTTGGCGCTACCAAAGTCGATCATGTGTTCTATTTCGATTAATTTCCTTGAAGAAATTCAGACCAATTTGCCTAAAGAAACGTTGGAATTACCTATTTCATTTTCGCTGATATTCTACAAAATATAATAATTACCGTCTACATCAATAATAATAGCTGGAGGATTTCATCATGAGCTGACATCAGTTAGAAAACCGTTAGAAAACCTGGGAGTACTAGACAGCTGTTTTGTCGGACTAGTTTGGGACTGTTCATCAGTACACACTCGCCGCCAGAGTTCAAACCCAGGACCTTAGGGTTACAAGGTAAACATTAAGCCACTGTGACCTGAACCAACAGCCAACCCACGAATTCTAACTTCTGCCAAATCATGACATAGCGTGATCACTTCGCAACGTGTTCTTCGATGAGTTACTGCCCCCACCTTCAACCTAGTGTACCCTACTGGTCACGGCTTCCCACCAGAACCCCGGGTAACTACCTGAATAGAGCCAGTCGCTAGTGAGCATCAGATTAATGATGTCAGCTCATGATGAAATCCCCCGAACCAACCAAACAAAATCCCTATAAAACCAATACTTGAAAAAAATAATAATGGTCTTTACTTTTATTGTTATTATGACTAACCACAAAGATTATTAAAGTGAAGAAGTATGCGATCGACTAAATAAATTTGCAGATTGAAGATATATATGTATATTGAAACTATCCATCCTACTCTGTCGTTTTCTTTCCACTTACTGTATGATAGGCCGGATGTGGATA